AGTAAATATCCAAAAATGAGGTAAATAAAATAAAATAAAATAAAACTTACCAATGGCTGAAAGGTGTTCTTGAAGTTCTTGAATGTGGTGGAGGTTGGGTCAGACATCGCCGTTTCGAACTGTCGGTTTGTGATCTTTACCTTGACACTGGACCAGCGGTTGCTCACAGTAAGGGCCGCAATTTTCACTATGGAGGAAATAGTGGAAAGGTAAAAAAGGACTGCACGAATTGGTTTGAAGGATATAATAATGACGGAAATTATATCAGTTCATTCATTGTCAATCTACATACTATTTGAGCTGATTCAAAATAAATTATGTATATATAAAAAAAAAAACGTTAAAATAAAATAGTTATGGGTGAATTTCAGGCGGTCCTTAATCATAGAAAACTTCTAGGCTTCAATTTCGACAGAAAATATATTTTAAGGCTAACTAATCAAATCTTGATGGAATTTTTTAGATAACTTACTTTTTCAGCGGAACGGGAAAAGCTGTTTGTAAATTACACAGAAATTCGAAATCACATTTTGTTCAAACAAACCAAGGGGATAAAAATAAAGAAAAAATAAATGAATAAAAAATTCCTGAAAGATGTTGCTCCACAGCCTTTAACAGTCACTTCAAACTTTGAACTTACGCGTGAAATCCAGATCCTGCATGTTCTGATTCTCCAACATGGAGTTCCTGAGGGCAGCCAGGTCGACGTTGGAGTTGGCGTTAGCAAGGTATTCTGCCCTGACTGTGGTGGCGTCTATCTGTATCACTCGCTTTAACTTCAAGTCTGAGGTGACTTTCGTGGTCTGGGAGGACGCCTTCACCAGGTTCGTGTACTGTGGGGAATTCTCGTTTGAAATTACCAGATTATTGGGTATTAGCGTGCTATCAATATATGTTGCATGTTGTAACATATGTTATATGATATATGCTTTACTATTATTTTACCCTGTACACTGCCCTCTCAAAGGGCTCCTTACAATACGAAACCCTCCAAAGAATAAAGATCCATTGCTCCATCAAAAAACAATGCCAAATATACATCGTGACTACTTCATCTTCTATGTTATATCCCCTATGTATGTACGCTATGTAGTAACGGCTGGAGTCGTACAGACAAATAAATAAAAACAAAAGGACTTGAAGATGATGGCGTCATGACTGTACGCTAATTAGAATTCGTTTGAATAAAACTTTTATGATAAATAAAAGTAATTGGTGATGAAAATAGGGAACAACGAGAGAATTAGTATTATGCTATAAACAATAAAATGGAAACGATCTTCATTTATCTTCAACTTAGGTCAGTAAAGCTTCATAAATAGGTATTCGACCTACAACGAAATTTATAACGTTGTAGGAATATCCAAAGTTTACGTAGAATTCTTTCAGATTTGTTAATCGTAAGAAACTCGTAAGATTGCGCTATTTAACTAACGAATTCATTATAAAAAGCTTTACCGTGGTTGCTGCATCTGTCAAGCTGGCATAACTAGTGGAGGTCTTTGTCAGGTAGTCGGTGACCTGAGTTGATGTTAGGCCTTTTAGCTTCACAGACATGAGCAGACCGGACCCTGAGAAGAGAAAGAAGAGAGAATTACATGTCGCGCGTGCATATGTATATACTCGTATAAACATGCACAAGTATACACACATACATACATATGTCGTGTAGCAGGCAGAAGAGATACTCCTGGAAGCCAAGTAATAGAATAGAGAGAAATTTACATGTCACGCGCAGTGCATATGTATATATTATATTAATAATACTTACTGATCAAGTATCTAAACAGTACATAGCTAATAAGTATACCAGCACATCTACGTATCCTTAACGAAAATGGTCACTGACTTATTAAAAATGGAAATTTTACACATAAGGTATCCGTATATAAATATTAAGCTTTTGAATCCTGCCTCATAATAATTACTTTTGTTTATATCACATCAACTGCAAAATATTTTAGACATTAAGTGTGCAAATAGTTCTTCTGACTTGTCCAACGGGACACGGTTTGTCATTTTTGTGGACCAAGGGATTCTAGCTAAATCAAGAAGTTTCGAGTCGCCTACATGCCCTTTGCACTGCTAACCTCTACCTGTTAAGTTTGATTTCTAGTTTACAGAATACTGAACAATAAGATATACAAATGATGAGCATTTTAATTTTATGTTCATTCAATGTTAGTATCGTTACAGTAGATTAGGCAAACATCAGAGGCGGGACCTGTAGTTAGATAACAAGACCTTCGAATTTAAGTCTGATTTCGTTACAGAAACGAACAATAAGATAACAAATGAGCAGTTTTATTATGTTTCACATGTAGTTAGTAGTTAGTAAACATCGACACCTCGATTTTGCTTGTCATTGATAAAGCGTAATACTAGATATAATTATATTGCTATGTATTAATATAATAACATAACTTGCACTCACCCAGTGTAGCAGCGGCGGTTGTGCTTGTATTTGTATTTGTGTTTGTATTTGTAGCCGTGTTTGTGTTTGTATTCGTATGTTTGTGTATTTGTATTTGTATTCATGTACACCGATGTGCACAATCTGGGTGGTATCTGGAAAATAAGGAGTACAATAAACGAAAAAGTTATACTTGGCAACCGGACCAGGCGAAACGCCCAGCTAACCGTTTAACCGTCGTTGAATTCACGTGGTTCTTGGCTAGAGCTAATAGTGAGCCATTCTGCGGCTAAAGTGAGAAGAACGGAATGCGGACATAGATTTTTGTAGTGGAATACACGAAGGCATTAATATCATAAGAAAAGTGGCAGGTGATGACATATTTACAAAACGGATTAAGATTATTACTTTTATGGAAGATTTCGAGTAGGCAAATATAAATGGTTTGAAAGACTAATGACTGTAAAGCGAGAAGTTTATGGCACGGAGAAACGGAAACACATTTATATATTTCTTACTTTCTAAAACACCTCATGCTTACCGATCGCAATTGGACCTGGGTATGAAATATATAACCAATGCTATGCTGATATTACAATTAATATGTATGAACTATCACTGCAAGCATCCGTCATGTTCTCTGAAATTAATCACCTATCACCGTCAGCCCTGAAAAAAAGTCTATACTATGTCATGCAGCAGCAGGTACTGTAGTGTGTACGAAGATATATTGTGACTGTTGTGTACTGTGGTAAAATAGGTGGCAGTGGAAGCGATGGTAGTACTGCTGGGTATTGGTATTGAGTGATGTTAGTAACACGGTTTGTCCTGGTATCACAGCATGAAAACGCAAAGCCTGTTGAAGGAGGATCATATTGTAGGTAGTGTTAAACAATTTCCAGGTACTGCATAGGTTACATTTGGTGTCGTGATAAGCTTGATAATTGGTAATAGGGCATTAAGTGTTTTAGATGTAGGAATATATGGTTCGGCTGGTGGGTGTGTATGTGTTGTCATGGACTGGAAAACATAAGTAGTCCAGTTAGTGTTAACTTTCTGAAACTACATGTTATTGTGAAAGACTGTGCTGTTGGTGGTATGACTTTGGTTTTATCGGAACTGGAAGTGTCAGATTATGTGGTAGCTGCTGTATCTGAACCTGTGGCGGGTAAGATGAGAATTAGTGTTGGTTTATCGGTGATAATAGATACAGCATTCTTTGTACTGAAAGACACGAAGGCATAAAGTAAAAATAGCGGCAGGTGATGGTATATTTACGAGATGTAGGATTTTGAATATTACTTTTTTTGGAAGATTTCGAATAGGCAATTAGAAATGAGATGCAAGACTGAAAAGTAAGCTGAAATGATTCTATTAATAAACACGGACTTGAAACTCAAACCTTGGCATATCTTACTGGTCACAAAGCGACAATTTCATAGTACGGAGAAATATACAATTTTCACTCTCTGAAACACCTTATGCAATTGGACCTGGATATAAAAATAGATATAGAACCAGTGCTGCGGTGATACATCTTTTTTATGTATTGAACTATCACACTGCAAGGATCCTGAAAAAAATACAACCCTGAAAAAAAAAAAAAATAACAACCAGCAAGTACTATAATAAAAAATGTATATAATGTGTGCAAATGATATGTGTTCATGAAATAGGTGTGCAATAAAAAGCGGTGCTTGGTGTATTGCTAGGTATTTGGTATTGAGTGAGTGATGTTAGTAACACTGTCCTTGTATCACAATATTAAAATGTAAAGCCTGTTGTATAAGGATTATCAGGTGTTAAAAAGCTGCCAGATATTTTTGTGTTACATTTCGTGTGATAAATTGTGGACAATGTAGGGACAGAATTTGAAGTGTTTTAGATGTAGGGAGATATGGTTCGGCTAAATGGTTGTGCAGGTCTTGTCATGGACTGTTAAACACAAGTTATCCAGTTACTGTAGTGTTGATTTAGTGAAAATACAGTTGTTAATGTGAAACTGCTGTTAGTTTTGAATCCCAGTAAGTGTCATGCGGTGCCACTCTAGTTTTACCGGAACTGGAAATGTCAGATGATGTGGTGGCTGCTGTATCTGAACCTGTGGCGGGGAAAATGGGAATTAGTGTTAGTTTACTGATGAAAGTTCTCGGAGGAAAACTAACAAAAATGCTATGTCACTGCTATGTATTAAAAAAAAATATATATATATATATATATAATATATATATATATATATATATAATATTATATATATATATATATATATATATATATATTTTAAGATGATATTTTTTCTTTCTTGGGATAGCATGATAAATGTTAAGGACGGGCATAAACCATGATAAAGAAAACCCTACATACGTATATACCTGAAATATAATACGAGTTATCACAGGCACGTATTTGAAATTTTAATCTGATACACATATTGCCTGCTAACCGTTGCCACCCTTATGAAATTCTTAGCCAGATATGTGTTCCTCAGTGTCATGTAATACTAGATTCAAAGTCGGAATACGGAAGTACAACTTTCTTAAGCGCAAATAAAACAATCACTAACTGTACTCTCAACATCAGATCTATAAAGACAAAGGCAATATTATTACAAGCCACTAGTTTGATATGCAACATAATAATTGCAAATTTCAAGTCGAAAGGAAACACCAAAAGGTGTTCTTGGTTCGAGCTATTAGTGAAATTACATTCTGCGGCTGAAGTGTGAAGAACGGAATGCTGACATAGTTCTTTGTAGTGAAAGACACGAAAACGAAAATAAAGGAAAAAAAAGTGGCGGGTGATGACATAGACTATTACATTTATGGAAAAATTTAAATAGGCTAAAGCAGATTTGAAAGACCGAAAAGAAAGCTTAAATTGCTCCAAGAATAAACACGACTAGAAGCAAAACACTTGACATTTCTTCATGACCATAAAACGATAAGTTACGAAGAAAAGTAAACACATTTATATATTTTTTACAGTTTGAAGTACCTCATGCTTAACGTTCGCAATTGGACCTGGATATAAAAATGGTTATATAACCAATGTAATACTGATACACCTTTTTATGACACTGCAAGGAGAACCGTCATGTTCTCTGGAAATGTTATCGCCATGAAAAATATGTCCTTTACTGCCAGCAGGTACTGTAGTGTGTGCAAAAGATAACTTGTGACTGTTGTGTACTGTGATAAAATAGGTGGCAGTAGAAGTGGTGCTTGTGTTACTGGGTATTGGTACTGAGTGATGTTAGTAACACGGTTTGTCCTGGTATCACAGCATGAAAACGTAAAGCCTGTTGTATGAGGATCATATTGTAGGTTGTGTTCAAAATCTGCCAGGTATTGTATATATTACACTTGGTGTCGTGATAAATTGTGGATAATTTGTAATGGGGCAAAATTTGGTGTTGTAGGTGTAGGAAGATATGGTTCAGCTGGTGGGTGTGCAAGTGTTGTCATGAGTTGGAAAACACAAGATATCCAGTTATACATTCCTCATTTTCCGAAGCACCTCATGCATTTAGACCTGGATGTAAAAATGATTATAAAACCAGTGATACGCTGATACATCTTTTTATGTATTGAACTGTCACTGCAAGGATCCTGAAAAAAATATAACCCTGAAAAAAAAGTTTAATTAAATGTACTGCCAGCAGGTGCTGCAGTGTGTACAAACTTGTGACTGCAGTGTATTGTGAAGAAATAGGTGGCAGTGGAAGCTGTGTTTGTATTGCTGTGTATTGGTATTCGGTGATGTTAGTAACACGGTTTGTCTTGGTATCACAGCATGAAAACGTAAAGCCTGTTGTATGAGGATTATCAGGTTGTGTTAAAAAGCTGCCAGGTATTGTATATATTACACTTTGTGTCGTATAATTGTGGGTAATTTGTAATGGGCCAAAATTTGAAGTGTTTTAGGTGTAGGGAGATATGGTTCGGCTGGTGGGTGTGCAGGTGTTGTCATGGACTAGAAAACACAAGTAGTCCAATTATTGTAGAGTTGATTTTGTGAAAATGCAGATATCATTGTGAGACTGTGCTGTTGGTTTTGATTCCCAGTTCGTGTTATGCGGTATGACTTTGGTTTTACCGGAACTGGAAGTGTCAGATGATGTAGCTGCTGTGTCTGAACCTGTGGCGGGGGAGAT